ACGGTCTTTTGTTACAGGGCCCTGTTTCCTTTGTCCGAGTTCGCAGACCCCGGCTACGCATATAAACCAAAGGGCTCGGATTTCGGAGTCCCCGGCAGGTAGTGGTTAATACAGCTCATTTCTAAGAATACTAGTGAGGATCCATAAAAACACACTTTTAGTGTATGCATCAGTGGACAGTAGTACTGTTGATTGGTACTCTACATGCACCCTGCTAAGAATTAAGTGAGAATCAGAGATATTAGCACCAACATGAATACTACAGGTCTACAACAGCATGGTTGACGTCGAGTACTTTTCCACAAGTATGAGTAGAATACAGAAAGAACAGCCAGTACCAGTTTCCACATTGGTTCTACAATGCTCTAGTTCCACATGAAGTTTACCAAGGCCGTTTTCCAATACTCAACTTCGTCTCCGTCTCGCGTTTCGTTCCCAAAACCAATCCCCGATACGGGCGATTCACAATAGTACACCACCAAGAGTTTGCAACGCGTTGGTCAATCATAACGCGCGAAATTTGTCGACCCTTTCCAAACGCACATTGGGTCGACAAATTTCACGCATTGTGATTGACCAACGTGTTGCAAACTCTTAGTGGCGCACTATTGTGAAATGGCCGTATTGTGGGCCTGAATCATTTAAATTACATTGGATTACTCAAATGTTTGGCTCTCTTGCATCTTATTTGATGTTCTGTGGCACTATTAGACTGATTACTGCGCTTACAGCTTCAAAGTCAGCTAGTAACAAAAACTGTTGAAGCCTGAGACGGAGCCGAAGTTGAGTATTGGAAAACGGCCCAAGTATCGAGTGCAAGTCCTTCAACACTGTGAAGTGCCGCCGGTCCATAGCAAAGGATACAATAGCTTGTCAATTTCGTCGCAGAGCGACTTAAAATCTCCGCGAGGAGGTGAGGTGGGCTGACAGTACTACGAGATTAAATATGCAAGACTATTACAACACAACATCTTGGGTCACAGATAAGGTTGAATCAGCCCATTGAATTTTTCATCTGTGCCTTTCAAACGCACTCGTTTTTCTTATGATGCTTACAGTACTCCTGCCCGTCCATTCTCCAACTCCCCTAAAAACATTCCGTTTGCATAACATCTCCCCACTTGTTTATTCGACAGAACCCACAATCAAGCCGAGAGTCGACGAAGACGAAGATCTCTTTGTTTCCCTGTTAGTTTTACTGTTGTTGAAAACGGTCTTTTAAAGTAGGAAATAAAACTCTGTGCACTTGTTGAACATTGGAATTTTTAATTTTTTTTGCCTCTTTACAGGTGTTTTTTTTTTTTGGCCTCTTTACAGGTGTTTCTAAGCTCCATTGTGTCTCTGGGAAGGGAGCATCACATGAAATATGCAGAACAGTCCCAGGCTTTGAAGGCAAGTCACTTGGTCCAGTTGTGGACATCCATTCGAAATGCCGGAAAAAAACTTCACAATCGAATTCTGGAATCCACAGAACTGCTCACTATGGTTTGATGCGTGAACAAAACAGGGCTCACCTACCAGTGCCTTGTATGTACACACTTGCGTGCAATCGGCAGAGACAACTTGAACATAATTTCCACCTTCCTCTGAATCTGACTCGCAAAGAATATAACCAGAAGCCAGTAATTTACAGTTTCAGTAGTTTATTAAACAAAATATAGTTGGAGGAGAATTAAATTATCAAACACTTACATTTCATTAACCAATCATTAATATCTCAGAAAATAAAATGAACCTTACACAGCCAACGCCCAGTCCCAAATCCACACTTGGTTAAAACTACTAGAGGGTTTTAAAGGAAAGTCACAAGTCAGTTCAACAAAGGAAGTTCCAGCTACACTAAAAAAGAATGGCTAATCTTATGTGGCATTCCATTGCGTGGCCACAGCCAGGGGCCCATCTGGCCGAGGCCAGGACAGGAAGGAAGACATTTAATGAATGCTGCTGTGGCGGGCACAAAAATAACTTTAATTGTTACGGAACAAAAATCCTGAGTCCTTCAGGTGGGCGTTGGTTAGATGTTGAGATCGTGGTCACATGTCGACCTAGCCACTCGTGGTGAGGGCGCTCTTGATGGTGGTTTAGAGTGTAACTTCTCAGTGTCCTCTTGCCCCAGATCTGTGGATGCTTTGCCCTGACGGAGCTTGCTCATGGTAGCAACACAAAGGCCATGAGAACTACAGCAACCTTTGATCCAAAAACACAGGTTAGAAATACTGCAGGTTTGCTCTCGTGTGCGGCCTGGGCGTAACTGGTAATGATGGATATTATACTTGTGATGTATCGTGTAGTTGTAGGGGTGTCAAACTTATCTTGGTTTTTAGACGTTGGGGTCCGGGACCAGACAATGACAGAAACTAACAGTTTTAGAGTAAAGTGAAGAGTCAAATATAGGAGATGATGAATATCGTGAAGAAAGGTGTTTGTAACAGTATTAAACGCTGTTGCTTGTGACCTTGGATCTTTGAGATATTTGGAGAAATGTGGTAGCTTACAGGCGTTGAGAGTTTTATAGTCTCAACACAGATTCACTGGGGACTGGTAGGCGTTAAGTTGCTTTGTTTTGACAGGTTCCCACATGGCTCAGGGGGGTTTGACAAAAGTGCAACTTTCTTGATGCGGCTAGTTAAATCAGTTAACGATACATGAAAGGTCCCCCTTCTTGTCAGGAATTTGTCCTCAACACCCCTGACATCGAAGCTGCCAAGTGCTGGGTGGGCCTGTTGGGCAAGACGGCCACCCACGCCGTCCTGTACGCCCAGCTCTACACCCCAGACGGGGTGTGCCACGGGCTGCACGTCTTCATCGTCCCCCTGCGGGACCCCAAGACCCTCCAGAGCTACCCAGGGCTGGTGCTGGGTGATATGGGCAAGAAGATGGGGCTGAATGGGCTGGACAATGGGTATGAGTCTGGAGTTCTGTTGAGTCTTCTTGTATATACATCTTAGTACATCTGAGTTGAAGGGACATGTAGTCACATGGTGGAGAATTGCCAGTACTATTTCAAATTTTAGGATTTTTGCCTTTGTGCGGTTTAATACAGTGTATATGTTGAGTGCTTAAGTAAAGCTCAAGTGAAAAGTGAAGGTATTACAGTTAATATTGTCCTGGCAGAGAGTCCCATCAGAAAGCCACAATGGAGAATTACTGGTCCAGTGTTTGCTGTCCTCGCTTTGTGTGAGCAGAAAGAGATAGTTCAATGTGCTTCAACTTCATGACCAGTTAACTTTCAATTTCCACTCAGATTTGTCATTCACTCCTCATTTCCAACATTTCGAGCTTCTGTTGGGTATCTGTGTGTGGTGGTTACAGCTCTTGGAATAATTGTCATTGTATGTATTATAGAGTGATTTATAGTTGACTGCAGCACCAGTCATGTTACGGAGTCTGGGAACCAAGCTGGGGAAGACAAAATGCCATGCGGCTAACCTGGTGACGGTGCAATGAGAGTGTGTGAGAAGTCACCTATTTTCCGTTGTGGTGGAATATTGACCATTTCAGAGTGTCTATTTTTGTTGTTGTTTTTGCAGGTTCGTCTTGTTCAATAACTACCGCATTCCTAAAGAAAACCTTCTTAACAAAATGGCTGATGTGTCTCAAGATGGCAAATACATCACACCTCACAAGGCAAGTGTTTGAATGATGCCAGTGTATCAGTGTGTCCCTATGAAACAGATAGGATGTGTTTTGACTTGCTAGAAGTGAATTGCCAATGATGTGTTGGTGCAGAATTGTTCAGCACGAAGAAAGATTTTTGAAGTTGTTGGTTATTAACACCATCTTTCCAAGCAGTTTTCCTGCCTTCATAGTTCAACCTTCAAAGGGCATCAAGCTCTGTGTCAAGTAATAGTGGCTAGGCTATACCTCCTTCAATTCTGCAAAGTCTGTCAAACCTTCAGGTGAATTTTGAAGCCTGTTGGGAGGACTAGAAAGTTGGATCTCAGAAAACACCTTATGGTCTCACTAACCTCAGTGTCAGCCAGTATCAGTGAATTTGTCTAGCGAACAGTAATAGACTAATTCAACAACTGGTTGATTCCACTTTTAGAATCCCAGAAAACACTTTATGTTGATCACCGGGCTTCCTGTTAACCCTAACCTTCCCCAATCACACAGAATTAAACAGCAGTGAAGTGTTTAATTCTGTGGAGATAGGTCTGGTAGGCCCATAACAGCTGGCTTTTGCATTGGGTTTGGCATACCTCAGAAAAACAAAGTCTAACAGCCTCTGTGCACAAAGTCCCATATGGGTGTTTAACTTAGTGTGAATGGGGAAGGTTAGGGCCAGCAACCCTTGGGGGGTTAGGGTTAAAGGTCGTGATTGATTGATCATTGATTGATATCCCTATCGATATCACACTCGGGATCCCAGAAAATTTTTGGTTTGTTTTACTGAGCTCCCTATCAGCAGGTTGTGAATGATTGATCACTAACTAATTGACATGTGATCAATTTCACTCTCAGGATCCCAACAAGCGTTTCAGTGCCTCGCTGGGCTCCCTATCTGCTGGTCGTATCGGCATTGCGAGCGTAGGCGTCTGTAATCTGAAGAAAGCCATGACTATCGCTGTCCGTTACTCAGCCGTCCGGCGACAGTTTGGGCCAACAGATAATGGTCAAGAGATCCCAGTCATTGAATACCAAATGCAGGTATTACTCAGTAACCAATAAAGTAATCAATAACTCTTAAATTCCTATAACCTGCTGGTTTATTGGAAAAATTGATTTGTTAATCATAGTCTTAATCCATGGAAAAAGATGGGTAATCTTTCACCACATGGAACAGTTAACCTGGAACAGAACGTGGAATTTGATTTTCAGAAGTTAAATAACTGATTAATGGTTGAATGATTGGTGTACTGTTTCATTCCTTTTACCCCAGCAATGGCGATTGGTTCCGTATATTACAGCCATGTACGCCCAGCATATCTTCATGAACTACTTGTTCGAAAACTTCCATGATTTCACCATAGCGACGTTATCTGGCAAGACAGACGAGAGACACGTAAGTCAGATGGCGCCATTCAGCTCTGGGCAGTCCCTGGTCCTGAAGGCAGTAATAGTGGGTGCTCGGTTGTCTCATCACACTGGAATGCTTTATGGATCTGTTTGTCTGTCATTCCATTTCTGGTTGGACAGACTTTCATCTGTATCATAACATTCCTGCGGGTATTCCTTGATCGCAGAAAAAGACATTGCTTTGAGGAGGACATTTTTAGAAGTGGGGAGGTTTACTTTAAAGTATCCTTTTCTCTTTATGAAGGAGGAGTGAATTTAACAAGACATGATTTACCACTAGGCAAACTTGAATCTTGAGTCCCTTGGGAAAAAAACTGTTCGCAAAGTTACCGGTGGTAAAGCATACAGCACAGCCTTGGGAGGCACTGCGGGTAATGTCCCTAACTGGGTGCTTCTCTCAGAAAGCATGGTGAGATCTGCAACGATGACATGTTCATTCATGGTTTCTGCGCCTTGTCCGGCCTTCTCCAGGCAGAGATGGGTAAGGAGATCCACGCCCTTTCGTGCTCCAGCAAGTCGCTGACAACATGGACAGCTCGGGATGCCATCCAAGAAGGCAGGGAGGCGTGCGGGGGACACGGCTTCTTGTACGGTAAGAACCGTTCAAACTCTAACCTCCGAAGGTTTAGAGCAGATCACCTTTAGATTCTTGTTGGATTTGGCATGGCGAGGGTTAATGAATAGTCATCTTGCGGATATCGTTGCCCATATCTTAATTGGGCTTCCAGAGCTCAGATGGAGTAGCTGTATATGGAATCTTTGTTGGAACAAAGCATGAAATCCTGTAGGAACCAGGCGCAGAAGCCAAAGATTGTATGACAGCTGTGCTGGTAACCATGCTTTGGTAAGCAGTGCTTAAGACACACTGGCAGCTCTACAAAATTGGCAGCTGATCAAAGAAATTTGCGAAAAGAGCACTAGATTGTTTATCATTAATAAGAGGTGAAGATCGGGCTGTTTCACTTGTATACCTGTCGTTGTGTTCAGAAAATAATGTCTCTCGGATTAAGTGGATTTCTGGAAAACTTGCATACTTGCCGTTCCTCATGCAGCCAGTGGTTTTGGACAGCTGCGGAACGACCATGATCCCAACTGTACCTATGAAGGTGACAACAACGTCCTATTGATACAGACCAGCAACTACCTGATGGCATTTGCCCAGGCCAAGAAAGGAGGTACTGAAATAGTTGACCTAGACCCAGGATGTGAAGAGATAGCATGCACAAATCAGACGTGCAACCTCTCCTCAAATAAGCCGACTTCCTTGTTTTGACAGCTTTCCATGTGTAATCGGTATAATGATATGTCTTTGGCTTGTTCAAATCACCTGAATGGAAGTGATCGCTGTTTTTTTTTCTCTTTTGTCAAATAGGATTAATGCTTGTCTCATCTAGGCCAATTAGTACCCCAAAAAAAAAACCGATGCCAGAATTAAAACTGTCATTGACACTGATCTCAAAAGTATGCAACACTTTGGTTTCATGTTTCCTGTTTGATCCTTTCATGGGATGTTTGTGGTGTTTTAAGGTGAGAGGATTTCTTCTCCCATGGGCTCAGTGGATTTCTTGAATGATATGGATAGCATCGCCGAGCAGCGCTTCACGTTCACCCAGGAGCAGGATGTTTTGAACCCAAGAGGTGAGATATTACAAAGAATTCCACTTCTGACTGATGTGGCATGGTTCATGGCGTTTTGTACACTGAGGGAGAAAAATAATACTCGAGGCAAAGCTGGGGGTACCATTTGCCCCAAGAATACACAAAAACCATTGGATCATATCATACATGTATGTGAATGGCTGTTAAGAACTTTCACAGTGTAACACCACCTTATGACTTATGTCCAACCCCTTCCCTTTGTAATTAGCTTTATCTTTCACCTTTTTACTAAAGAAGAAGGCCAAAACTTTTTCGTAGGTTTCACACACACACTAGTATATTTAGCATGTAGATCCTATTTGAATGTGGTGAAAAAACGATACCCTTGGAATTTCATCTTGGACTTCGACAACCTGTAGATTCAGTTAAGGTTTGTTCTCCTCTGCAGTTGCTATTGCTGCCTATCAGTGGTTGGTTGTCTACTTGCTCAATGAGAGTGTTGCCAGAGTCCAGGCTGAAAGCAGCAAGGGCAAAGATGCCTTCACCGCTCGCAACGACAGCCAGGTGTACTACTGCCGATCGCTTGCCATCGCTTTTACCGAGGTACTAATTGGAGACTTAACGTGGAGAGTCGTACGGTGAAGTCAAAAAGCCACACTGTGTGTAAAATATGTTGCAACACCTTCACGGTGGAATTATTTTGACCGCGACTGCTGGGTTGTGGCTTACCATGAATGGAGGGCTTTGTCCAGCAGCAGGCCCCATTGAACCAGCAGTGAATAGACTGTATGTGTGATATGAACTAATCCTGACACAACGGTGCTGTAGTAGCAGTCCTCCGTAGCGAAGGGGTTAATGTGATTCTGAACAGAGCTGGCCGTCTGAATATTTTAAACAGTGTGCTTTTTCCATCTTTAAGACAGTGTTTGTTTTTCCCTGAGCGCAGAAAATAATTAGTGTTAAAAACGTGAGGTGAGGTTGTCTTCTCAATATCTGAAAACTCACTGAGAGATGTACATCACAGTGCAGTCACAAACTGTCAAGTATGTCTTGGTTTTCAAACTCTGTAACTGCACACTTAGGTTTTGAAGTATAAGTAATTTTCTTGTATTCAGGACTTCAGGACTATAATGCGAATTTGATGTCCCAAATTTGGCAGAGAAGCTAAGAAATTACTTTTCCCATGCTCTTGGTCATAATTCGACCTTGTCTGTTTCGTTTGTCATAGCACACTATTCTGAACACTTTGTACAAGTTTAACCAGAGAAGCACCATCCCTTCATCCCTCCGAGACGTCTTACAGAAACTCTGCAGCTTGTATGGTCTGTGGTCTCTTGAGAAACATTCGGCAACTCTTTATCAAGGTACCATATCATATTTAACTGCATACCAGCACAGTTTACAAGTTAAGTGAAAGAATTCCCTGAACTGCACTCGCCAAAAAAAAAACAACAGATGTCTTCTACATTTCATATGTGACCTGTCACGACAAAATGAGAGTAAAGTCGCATCCCACTCTATTTTATTTTGAGGGTTCAAAGTCATATTGAAGTGGAGGTCAATTTATGGTTTTTGTGATATTTGGAAAGAGTGACCCGTCTCCTATTTAATTCAAAATATTTCGCAGAATCCCATATTTAAAAATGTTATTTTCTCAGCAATTTGGCGAAAGTATTAATTGTGCCTAGTCTGAAACGCTGAAACAATGTCGGGAACAAAGACGCAAAGCTGCCAGAAAA